CTGATGAGGTGTAGGGAAAATAATACATTCATACATTATTGGGAGTATAAATTGCTATGATGCTTCTGAAGCAACCAAAATTTCTCTACAAAAGTTGAATATCAAAATATTAAATAATCATACTCCTTGACCCAAAATAGTCACATCTAGGCATTTACATTTCATGAATATGCAACGCAAGTATTCAGAAACACATATGCAAAAATGCTCACAGCAGCAATGTTTCTAAGACTGCAAGAATAGTGCCAAGATATGTTATACACTAAAATACTTCTGAATAAATAATAAAAACTGAAAACAACTGAAAATGTACATCAACAGAATACTGGTTCAGTTATGGTACATCTACAAGATAACAGACCTACTATAATCTACAGATGTACAATATATTTCTAAGAAATACAGTTAAGGAAGACTGTCAAGGCACAGAACTCCAGAGGGCACTTTTCACAGTGGTACAAGTAGAACAATGCCTACTACCTCCAGCAGAAAAGTGGCACAGTGGCTCTGTGGTTAGAAGAGCCTTGTTTAATGAAGGGGAAGAGAAAAAAGATGACATAATACACAGAGAAACAGTTAATTATTGATATGACTCAAGCTGAGTAATAAATGAGGTTATGAGGGACTTTCCCTTTTTGTTATACTTCTGTGTTTGAATTTTCAATTACTAGCATAAATTACTTTTGTAATCTGAAAAGCACAATGAAGAAATTTTAAGGAATCAAAGACTCATAATACTTTGAAGGTATTTCACAAAATACCAAACAGCTAGACATATCGACATGTAGATGTTTATAAACAGAGTGAACAAGAAGAATATATACACAGTATACCATCATATAAATTTCAAAAGCAAGCCAATTAAACATTACATTTTTTTATACACATATGGTACAACAAGCACAAGAGAGAAACACAAAATCCAGAATAGTGATTTAACTCAAAAAGGAAAAGGCAAGGAAATGGCTTCAAAGATACTGGCAATGTTCCTTTCTTAAAAACTGTGCAGTGGTTTCACAGGTGCTCATTCATGGATATTCTTTATAACAATGTTTTTTATGTATTCTTTTGTACAGACTGAATATAGACAAACTTTTTAAAGAGAAAGGATTTCATCATCACAAGAAATTACCTTAAAAAAAGAAGAGAAGAAAGAAAACAGAAAATTGAAAAAAAAGACAAAAATACTGCCTGTGAGAGCAAATTAGAATAGCTATTTAAGGGAAGAGAAGAGAGATTTTGTTAGCCTGTTTTCAGATTAGGGGATTATGCATCTGTTACAGTAAAACCTCAGCTATAGAGAACCTCACTTAGTATTACTGTGTACACTCATGCTTTCTAGATGCCACAGTTTGTCATTTTAAATGCTAATTTTATTTAAACAATTTTAATAAAACCAAACTGCAAAACTATGTAATAACGTATCTTCTTAAATAGAATATACTCGTCGTGGTTGTTTGGGGGTTTTATCTGGCATCAATACATGGACCTTGCTGTAACAGCGATTCCCTCAATACTAAAGAACTATTGGTTTCAATATTCCCAAGAGGTTTTGGAACAACATTTTTGGACTTTTTGTTTGTTTTCTACCAGGCTCTTCCAATCTTTCCCATGTTGTTAATTAATTCCTGCTCAACAGTATGTTGATGGCTTAGAAATCATCTAATCAGCTATATATTAAATCGAGAATACACAGACTGGCCCACGGATGTAAAGAATATGTGCTTTGAAATACGGATTTGTTCTTTCTTTCAATTCCTGAGGCTAATTCTCAGTTCCCAAATGTAAATAGGTTTCTCCATAACAGTGTTCCAAATAAATGGATTTACCCCAAATTTTAATTTTTATAAGTATTTTCAACATTATATAACCAAATCATTAAAACTTAAGGCAATTTCTAAATGTCACTGCATTGCTTTAGACATCATGACACTAAATATTTTCATACGAAGGTCGTTACTGGAAATGATTAAATTTTTCCACTTTTATTTGGCAGACTATATGGTATTATGCCGATTTTTTAACTTTCTACTTCAAAGTCTAAAACAGCCTTTTTTAGATCACTGTTTTATCAATCTGAAATAATAAGACTATATACATTAAGAAAATTCTTTTTTTTTTCTTTTTAGGGAAGGCAGGATAAGGAAATGTTTAAGCCTTGTTATAAACAAAATCTGTTTATAAAGTTTACAAAAACAATGATAGGCAGAACTCCTGAAAATACATGAGTCAACAATTTTTTAGCTCATGAGCAAAAAGTTATTTTATAAGCTCGTGAGGTTTTATGGATTTCTTACATTCTAATGTAAGCTATGAGCAAAAGGCAGGTTTTCTTCTTACCCACTCTTCAACAAAAAATGCCTCTGGCATTATTTTATCTAAGCCACATGAGATACAAAAATTTTATTTTAGTAAATTTATAAAAAGCCTATTACGTTCCTTTAATTGAGGTTAATGAAAGAGAAACTCTATGAAGAATACAGAAAAGTAAGAAAATTCCTATGTCTGTTTCTCAACAAAGGAAAGTATGGAAAGCAAGGCACAAAGCCTCTTAAGAGCTCGCTGCTTGGCACACCGCTGACACTAGGAGCAGAGAAGACATGCTGCTGCATCTTCTCTCCATCTCCAGTCATCTTCCTTCCAGGCATTTGATCCGGTTCTGAAACACCTTCCCCTGTAACCAGGACCCCACATGGCCTCTTATGCTCAGTCCTGCCTTAGCCATATTCCTGAGGAGTTCCATGAGGTAGGGTCACCTAAGCACATTACTCGTCTGACTCTTTCTCAAAACATAAAGAAATAAATTTGCAATAACTCCTAAGAAACATGTGAATGAGCCATGACACTATGTACATTGGTATGAACCAAAAACCATGAAAAAAGGAGGAACAAAAAAATAAATTATGGAAACATTTTAAGCAGATAAATGAACCTGGTTAAAAAAAGAAGTTAAAAATGAAAGTAAAATCATAAAAGAAACACAGCTGGGTAATAAACATTTTAAATGTTTGTTTCTGTTATTAATTTTAAAAATGAAAAATCTAAACAAGATACAAGTTTCCATCTACCGAAATTGCAAAGATCAATAAAGGCAGGAAGTAAAAAGTGCAATGAGAGACATTCTCTCACTTTGTGGAATTTAAACTGGCACAGCTATTCTGGGAACTAATTCAGTAATATGTTATCAAGAGTCCTTACTCTTTGATGCAATACTTGTACTCAAAGGACTTTGCACAAATGCGAACAAACACAGAATCCTTATTTCAGAATGAATGTAATGAAGGGATAAAATGCATTACTCTACCTCCCTGGCTCAGTTTTGTTAAACAAAAACAAAGCAAGGAGAAAGGGCCTGGGAAAAGCACAGCCACCTTGGCCTGCCACCATCAGGCCATAATGACCCCATTAACCAGCCCTGCCCCTCAAAATTTCCTTCTAGTTCAACCAAGATGTACAAGTATAGTCCTATACAAAACTAAAAAAGCACACTGATATATTTAAGAGAGTTTTCAAATGACTTGAGACAAAAAGGGTTCTTTCTAGGATGGAAAGGAAAATGACCTCCCGGACTAACTATGAAATGCTATTTCCCAAACAATTTATTTTATCAATAAATTCAAATACCTCTGTAAATAATTTCATTAGCCAGTAAGAAATTATGCCATTACAGCACAGAAGTCATGAACCTAGGTATAAATTTGTTAAAGTCACATGTATCAACATTTAATAATATAAAATTTACTACATTTTCTAAGCAGTCAACGGTTATTAAACAAAAAGCTAAAAAACGTGTGTCAAACTCTGCCATGTTAGGAAAAAATTAAATATAAAAGATTTATTCCTTAGGAAAACAGTTAAAAAAGCTATGTTAAACAGAAACTAAGTCTCTTTGTAAAAATATCAAAAGCATCAAAAGGTGGAACCATGGCAATAAATAAGATTTGTGCCTTTTCGTATACACACAGAAGCAATTTGAGTTCTAAGCTGTAAGAAGAAAGTTTGACGAATGAAGAGTTTTATATTAGATTTCTGTCATGGTTGCCAATATTTCTTTTTATTTGTACATTTAAACACTCGGTATTTTAATGCCTCAGTTTTATAATACTAACAGCAAATCATTAATTAACAGTTGAAGGCCTCTGGCTTTACTTATTCTCTTGTCCAGAAGAAACAGATTTCTCTAACACTTACCTAAACTCGTGGGCTTGATGAGAACATCAAGGACATCATAAAAAGGTAAGTTTTTTAACTGCACATCAGGATGAACAGGAGGGATTGGGGGAGATGGCTGCTGCATCTCAAACGTGGGTTTAGTATCTTGAAGCAGCACAGAACCAACAGGAGAGGACGGCGAGTGAGGTGTAACTGAAGTGGAAGGCAACGAGTGGATTCCAGCCACAGCCAAGTCAGGTTCTACAGGTGAGGAGCTACCATCCAAACTGAAAACCGATGATTTGATTGTGGATAAATCAGAAAGGCCTTCAAGAGTCCGTGGGTATCGGCGTCTATACAATTCTCGGATTTTAATCTGAACCGCAGGGCTGCAGCCGCTCTTCAATAAATGCAACGCCCTCATCAGGAGGTCATGCTTGCGTCCACTTTTATTCCTTCCGGCAAAGCCTAGTAACACTTGTAGTTCAGAAACCCTAAAACTAGAAACCATATTCTAAAAGGAAAGAAAAAAAAAAAGGGATATAAGCCAATAGTCAGCCTCAAGCATATAAAAATCCTATCTAAAATCTACTGTAAAATCTGATTTTTCTAGCATTCTATCAACTGGCATGGGCTAGTAACCAGCATTTTCACATATCACTTAGAATTGTTATTGTTTCTATAGCCACCACCCCTCCCCCACCAATTACAGTCAAGTTATAGTGTTAATTATGCTTTGTTGTACTCAATTTTGGTAATCTATGGTCTATTGGTTTCTGCTAACCACTTCATTATCTGATTATGCCCAAGTGTAAACCCATATTTGCTTTATCACTATGAAATCTAAACCAATGAAAATGTTCCTCTTCAAAACTAAGCCCTACCAATACACAATGTAAGGTCTGTTACAGTATTATCATCAATTAACCAAAAAAATTTAGGTTTCTGCAACAACGTACCTGTAAAACTTCTGAGGTTAAGCAAGAAATCTACAAAATCAAGACAGAACTGTAATACAAAATCCAATGAATTTTTTCACCCCAGCTCAAATATTAAGGAACACACAACATAAGAAAATAAGAATATTTTTAAATATTAAAGCTAAAAAATCACATACATCTTATTTAGCAGTCAAACTTCTAAAATGATTGAAGTTCTCAGCTAAGTATCCAATGTGAAAAATAGCTTTGAAGAGGAAGGATATGAGTGGTCATAAATCTTAAAAGGCAAGATACCCTCCTTGCCACTCTACCTACTTGTTCTTGGGTGTAAAATGAAGATTATAAGTAGTTGCTGTTTCACAGGAACCATCTATTTAATTCAACAAAACCTAGTAAATTCTAACCACTTACTGCCTCATAAACCCACCTACTTAGGTCATTTTCAGCCAATTCTGAACTCAGAGGTAAACCACACTTGGGTCAGATTTATCTGTACCACACATGCACCATCTGGCCAGAAAGAGGAGCAAGACCTGGAGCTGAGCAAAACCCCTTTCAGAAACCGACCTTAAGGAAACTTTCCCCAGCCCTCCTCCTCAGTGCTGCACACTCTACAGCTGCCTGGGATTCCTTCTCAACCTGGTGAGTATGCAGTGGCCACACCTACAGTTGGCAGTGATTCATAATTCCTCCGTTCTGCACTTTTAAGTCTCATTGACAGCCCAGCAGCAATTGCTATAACTCTGGTTTTTAAAATAATTGTTGGCAATACTTGATAGTTTTCCAAAATGCAAACAAATTTAAATATATCAAAGTAATCTGCATGTACATGCTGTATCATAATTCTACTTCATACACTATGTCTCCAAATTTCATATTGTACAAGTCAGAGAATACTAAGTTATAATCCTAGCAACCATTTTATACTCTTGATCAGTGCTGTCCAACTGAAACAGGAACCACATATATAATTCTAAATTTTCTAGTAGCCACATTAAAATAAATTTTAAATTAATTTTGATAATATGCTTTATTTAACCCAATATATCAAAAAGTATTATTTCAAGATGAAATCAGTTTTTGTGGTTTAAAAATAGTCATTTTTTGGGCTTCCCTTGGTGGCGCAGTGGTTGAGAGTCCGCCTGCCGATGCAGGGGACACGGGTTCGAGCCCCAGTCGGGAGAATCCCACATGCCATGGAGCGGCAACGGGAGAGGCCACAGCAGTGAGAGGCCCGCGTACCACACAAAAAAAAGAAGTCATTTTTTAAGTGTCAATGAGATCTTTTTCATACTAGGTCTTCAATATCCAGTGTGTATTTCACACTTGGAGCACATCTCAATTCGGACTAACACCACTTCAAGTACTTAGGGAGCCACATGTGGCTAGCAGCTACCACACTGGACAGTATGGCTCTAAATCATACTCTAATAGCAACATATATCACAAATACCATGATCGTTATACTTTAGCTCGCTTCATTTCCCCCATGTGTAAAAGGAAGACTTTATTTATCTTACCCCTTATGCTATGAACAACAAAGATGGAAAACAAGAATATTTTTGGCCTATCTCATGGCACACCAGTAACAATCAAGGTTTCATGCATAATAAGGACTATGATAGCTTTTGGAAGTTTCCTCCCAAGCAAGAAATGCAATGCATCTTTCCCAAAGTCCTCAATCCTAAAAAAATACTTCAATTGAAATCTGCTTATATTACAGTAGCATAAATAACATTAAATCATGGAGAACGCTAACAACACTAACAACAATCACGCTATCTGTGATGCTTTCTAAAGAAATCAAACTAACTCAGAATACACTGCTTCTCTCCTTACACTTATTTTCGGGTATTCTTCACTTTAAGGAAACTTGTTTTACAGAAATGACAAAATAGAGTACAAGGCACCCTAAAGCTTGACTCTCAAAAAGGAATTTCTGGGAGGTCTCATAATACTTATTTCCAATGGTAACTTTATTTGGCAAAGAATGCTGAAGTAATTGGTCTAATAGCTATTGTAAACATACAAATGAAAAGGAAGAAAGAGAAAGGCTTACAACTATGAATGCAGAATCACAGAATTCTGAAGCAAAACAGAAATCCCCCAGTTTAGGGAAGGGCAAAGGAAACAACAGGAGACAGGACAGTCTTTGCACTGCAAAATGCTGCCAAAATAAAGTATTGCCAGGCACTTGCTCAAAGATGATGGTGTTGAGAGTCAATGGTACCCTGTGGAAAGCTTCACACCAGCAGTCACTAGTTGAAGGTCAAGTCCTGACCTCAAGACTTAGGACTTTGGCAAAGTCCCATTATCTTTCTGGTCATCCATTTCTATTTTAAAACAACAACAACAAAAAACCTCTCCTTTATTTAGCATTCACTACTAAGATATTCTCTAAGGAGATTACTAAGTCAAATTCTATGAATATGTTTTTCTTGGCAAACTTTGCTGGATCCCACTTCTTCTTAAAGTGATGCCTTTTTTTTTTTAACTGTCTTCAACCAATTTCAGCAGCCACCAGCTGAGGTGAGCCTGCTATGAATACTACCAAGAATGGATTTCAACTGTTACTTTCCACCAATCTCTGATGTCTACATTTCTAGTCTAATTTTTTTCAAGTGGATTTTATCCAGTTCAACCTACTGCCTCCCAAAGTCTGCCCTCTAATACTTCAGTTACAATTGCTATGTGCTCTATACAGAGAAATTTCTCAATAAATGTTTGCTGACTAACTTTAAGGAAATTCATGAACTACAAAGAACTATGTTGGCATAACGGATTTTTAAAAAGCTACATAAGCAATCTGATTTCTAAAGAAAAGTTAAATAAACTAAGACTAGAAATTTAAATCAATCTTTTTCTTTGTCAAATTTAAATAACAGGAGCTTCCCTGGTGGCGCAGTGGTTGAGAGTCCGCCTGCCGATGCAGGGGATATGGGTTCGTGCCCTGGTCTGGCGGCTGGGCCCGTGAGCCATGGCCGCTGAGCCTGCACGTCCAGAGCCAGCGAGAGGCCCGCGTACCACCAAAAAAAAAAAAATTTAAATAACAAAATTATTAAAAAATTTTAAAGCTGGGACTTTATATAACTGAAACATTACATACAGGAGTGAAGGCCACTTGAAGGTGCTGTAAAATTGTCAAAAATAGCACAGAATTTGGGGAAGCTCTAGTGGGTCAGCTAATGCATATATATGGAATCTTAAAAAGGTACTGATGAACCTAGTTGCAGGGCAGGAAGAAAGATGCAGACATAGAGAATGGACTTGAAGACAGGGTGGGAGGGGGAAGCTGGGGTGAAGTGAGAGTAGCATCGACATATATACACTACTGAATGCAAAGTAATTAGCTAGGGGGAAGCAGCAGCATAGCACAGGGAGATGAGCTTGATACTTTGCGATAAGCTAGAGGGGTGGGATAGGGAGGGTGGGAGGGAGGCTCAAGAGGGAGGGGATATGGAGACATATGTATGCATGTGGCTGATTCACTTTGGTGTACAACAGAAACTAACACAGTATTTATACTGTGAAGCAATTATACTCCAATAAAGGTCTATCAAAAAAAACAGTCATGGTACAGAACGATACAGCTTTGTAAATCCTCCATCTGCTATGATGTGCAACATGGGGAAGGGAGAAGAGCTGCTGACGGAAACTGACAAATCACATTATTAATATCGCCTATCCCAGCTACAATATTAACACAATCTACACCTTCACTTACAAGTAAGAATGGATTAAAAAAAATCAGGTACATAATCAATACATCAAAGGCATGTTTGAGCCGATGCCATAAGAAAAACTATGTGGCCAGTTAGAAAGATACTGCAATTCCAGAAGTCACAGGAGGCCCCAGTTCCTGGCCATGTACTCCTGTGAAATCATGCAGTCCCTATAATTAAAGCCCTTTTTACTTGAGATACTTGATGTGGATCTCTTCCTCACAACGCACTGATAAAAATAACTACTCAGCTAAAAAAAATCAAAATTGGAAATCATCTATTAAAAGAAACAATAAAAAAGACACATTTTAAAAACCTATAAAATTAGCCAAAGCTTGGGAGACCATCTCCCTAAATGCTTCCATTTTATACAAGATTTAAAATAAATTGAGTAGTCAATTCGAGAAGCAAAAAAGTAACAGGGCTTCCCTGGTGGCACAGTGGTTGAGAGTTCGCCTGCCGATGCAGGGGACACGGGTTCATGCCCGGTCCGGGAGGATCCCACGTGCCACGGTGCGGCTGGGCCCGTGAGCCATGGCCGCTGAGCCTGCGCGTCTGGAGCCTGTGCTCCGCAGCGGGAGAGGCCACAACAGTGAGAGGCCCGCGTACCGCAAAAACAAACAAAAAAAAAACTGCCTATGAAAAAAGTAACAACAAACACACACCCTCAAAAAGAGTGAAGAATTAAAAGATACAAGCAAGAAAACATGACTTAGAAAGCAAAATGCAAGAAGCCTATAAAGTCAGGCCAAAAAAAGGGGAAGAAAATGAATAGGGTCCTGAGAATGAGAAAAGAAACATAAAGACCACAAATACTAAGCAAATTTCTTTAAACAAAGAGAACAGCACAT